GTATTGCACCTTGTGTTTAACCATATATATAATAATGTAGCATCTAAAATACATCACTTGCTACACAGCTACATAAAATATGTTCTTCATTTAATACTTAATAGTTTAATTCTTTGAGGTTCTTTTTATAGGACATAAAATCAAACCAAATGATCATTTACATACATTAAAATAATGTCATATGATCATGGATACTACTTATTTTTATTATCATAGTTAACCAATAGTTTGTTAAGTGTGAAATATTAAAATTTTTTTCAGTTCAAAACGAAACAATATGTAACGGACCATGAAGTAAATAGTATCATACATGTCAATAAAAACGTTTCTCATTACCACTGTTACACCCTCTTTATTACATTGTTTATTATTTTATGAGGTCATGTATTCTGTATCATTATAATGATATAAAAGATTTTTATCATTTCAAAAGTACTATAAGTACATATATATATATATATATATATATATATATATATATATATATATATATATAATATATATATATATATATATATATATATGAAAGTAATAAAAAACCCATCTTGATCTATTAAAGACTACACTGAAAAAGGTAATGAGCAATAGTTTTATGTATGTATGCTGGAATATATCGTTGTAATAAACATATAAAATTACATGATTATACTAAATGTAATAAACTGATGTGAAAATGCTTTAAAAAGAAACATGATGTAGGCTCATATAATGGAATTCATTATATGTTAATCGATATGTTTCAGTAAGGATGTGCTTTTTTGACAAATAAAGATCCGCCCAAACTATTTTCTAATCTTCATGTCAATGTCAATAAATGAATTTAACTTACCATAAAACTAGCAAAGTTAGTGAGTAACCCCAAAAAAAGAACTAGAGTTAATAAATTATGGAATCAACCAAGGATCATGACACACAGTTAATTCTCTATTATAACATTATACCATAAAAGGGATGAAGTTATTTAATTTCAACTGAGTAACTAAATAATAATTTATTTGGTATGCGATATGAAATTCATAGGGTGTCTACTTCTAAAGAGTATGATATTGAATCATAAAGTTTGTTTAGTGCTAGACTGTTTTTAGTAATACTTTTTATCACATTTTAAACATTGATAAAAACCACCATCAAATTTCCAATTGATTCAGTTTTGGAATGAATTTTAACTAAGATTTAGGAATTAAAAAAATAATTTGATGAGATTTTCTTTGAATATATCGTTAACGACTTAATATTAATTTCCTTTTGTGACATGACATTTCAGCACGGATTTGAAAAGCTTGTTTGGCTTTTGCCAACTTACATCACCTATAGCGAAGACGAGATATCCGTCTATCAGTCCTTTCTGTTTTAATTTGCCGCAGCGAAACATGGCCATTAAGAGTAGAAGACGCTCGTAAGCTACTAGTATTTGACCACAGATGCCTTAGAAATATTGCTGGCGTCTGCTGGGATCACCTGGTAAGTAATAGTGAAGTTAGACGCAGGGTATTAGGGAATGATGGTAAATCGGTTGATGAGGTTGTGAATCTTCATCGACTGAGATGGTTGGGCCACGTGTTACGTATGCCTGAACACCGATTACCACGACGGGCAATGCTGACTAGTGTTGGGGATGGTTGGAAGAAAGTTAGGGGCGGCCAAACCAAAACGTGGCATCAGTGCTTGAAGACACTAACTTCTAGTCTGAGCCATGTTGGTAGATGCAGACTACTTGGTTGGGGTTCACGTGAATATCGTAACCAATGGGTGTAGACTATTGGTGACATGGCTAAGAATCGATCACAATGGCGTCGGTGTATACACTCTCTGTCTTTCCTCAAACTAAGAGATTAAAATCGCTTCATATCTTTCTTTCTACGAACTAATTCTTCCTTCCTGTACCATATCCTCATATGCAATCTTTCTTTTTATATTACCACCTCTGAATTAACTACTTTTATGAATCCGGTGTTCATCTTGTTGTGTTAATGAGGTATGGCAACTTGGAGCGATGCATATATGTGCTTGGTCCTACGTTGTAGCTGACTGACTGAGTGATTGACATGACATTAATAATACGTTCTGATTAAAGGATGTCATATATCATTTTCATAATGAAAAACGTCTTGAATTATGATTTTCACATTAATATCAGGTAACAGATATGATTAGGTGTTTACGAAGTATCATCGGACTAGATTTTCACTAAAACATATAAATTATTAATGAATGCAATTGTTATTCGAAAATATCTTATGTCTCAGTGAGTTGCAAGTAATATTAAATGTTAACACATAGCTTCTGACGAAAAGAATCATTATTTAAAAAGAAACATAGAACTATTTACATACATTTAAAATCAATCTACAATCTCACTGGGAAAACTGTATGGCTTCTACTAATTAGATCGATAGCAAAATAAGTTTTTCGGTAGATTGTTAAAACCATAAAACACTTGAAATCAACAATTAGAGCAAAAAGATTTTCGCTGTATCGGACAGCAACCCTAATTACTGATTTCTAATTTATCCACTTCAAATTAATAGCAATCAGTAATTTTGTGCTTTTTCTATTACATAACAATCCAAGTCACCTTCAACTTCACTATATATCTAGTTGAAACAAGTCATTAGAATGAATAACCACCTACAGCAATTGCTTAATTGTTATATTCTGATCATGGTAAAATTATATCATTAGTTTTGTTTCACCCGAAATCATTATAATTAAAGAAGTCATTAGTTTCATTGATACATCTATTTATATATTTCGAAAATTCCCTTCATAATGATATCATATCAGTAATTTTGAACCCAATCAAGACATACTGTTTACTAAATTCTTGTAAAGTTCGTTTAGATTTTATAACATTTCAAATGTGTTTCATCTAATGTGTTGAATGACAATGACTGGGATGCAATATTAAAATCTAAATTAGTAATCACCTGCGGTGATTATTTAATACAAATTAATTTCATACAATCGTACGTAACAAAAAAACAAGAACGAAATGTTATCAAGTTGACAATTACATATAATTATCAGAAGGGGTTTGTGGAGATTTTAGAAATTTCACAGATTGAAATCATGAGTCAATTGAAGCTAGACCACGATGGGAAACCTGGGAGCGTTGGACGGCTGTTCCGTCCTATTATGGAACTCCTCAGCGGTGCACACTCACGATCCCGCGAGATTCGAGCCCAGAACCTATCAGTCTCGCGCCAAGCGCTTAGCCAACTACACCACTGAGCTGGCATCCAACGGTGTTAATGTCTAACTTCAACCAATCCACGAAGTTGCGACACCGTATACCATTGTCTTCAGTGAGCTGATATCTCACGACAGACCTGGTTGAACTCCACTGGTAACGGCTTCTCACCAGAACTCCAGTCACTGGTGAGCATATGATTTTTATCAGAAGGGCGCGAGACTGATAGGTTCTGGATCCGAACCCCACGGGGTGCGGGATCGTGGACGCGCACTGTTGAGGAGTCCCATACTAGGACAAAACGGCCGTCTAGTGCTTCCAGGCTTTCCATGGTGGTCTAGCTTCAATTGACTCATGATTTCAATCTGTGAAATTACATATAATTAACAAATGGATATATCTGGAAACAATGTTAAATACACTGGAGGATAGTATAGAAATAATACATTCAACAGTAACCAGATCTAATATTGAATACATTCTTTAAAATATTTTGAACGTTTTAATTACTTAAAAGATGCAATTTATAATGATGCTTACCCTACTGTCATACTAAATCCGTTTTACTTGATAGAAATTGACGTGAATGAATTTATTATTTCTTCTTTCGCACATTTTCGATATATTAAATCTGATTATACATAATATATATTACTTACTTACGCCTGTTACTCCTCGTGAAGGAGCATAGGCCGCTCACCAGCATTCTCCATCCAACATAATATATATTCATAACTTTTTATTTTAATCATACTATGTACTGATTTCCCTAACAAATTATTATGACGTAATAATAATGATAATAAGCTCTATTCACAATTTTTGTTTATTCTATTCATGTGAGCTGGAAGGACCTGAAATAGTACAGTGTAATGTAACAGTTTGCATAACAATTGTGTGTTAGTTCAATACACTCTGTTTGGGGAGTTTAATTACGTGACTTGTTTTTTGAGTTTCGAAATATGCATAAAGCAAAAATGTGGTTGGTTTATATAGTAAAAACTGTATTCGTTAATTTTCATATATTTGCATAAATCGTACAGAAATATGACAGTGTTAAATGACTTTTACTGGAGATTTATGGTGGAAACGTGTCATTTACTTACATAAATTATTATTACTACAGTTTTTATGCTTCCTCGAACGAAACAAAACAAAATCTTATTGTATGATAATACATGACAGTCGTTATGCTTAATATGGTGATTCTAAGGACCTCAGTAGAAAATTATCTGAGGATGAACTTTTAGTTCATGATACATCAGTACACCAAACACCAAGATGCAAAGGACGAGTTATAGATAAAAAATTATTAACCACTGTTAGAGTCAGAGTATAATTAGGGTCACCTAAAGTTTATGAGGTGATAGCTGACATGACAGTTTATTTCTTTATAAAAATGTTGTTCAATGTAGAAAAATGTCATGGACAACTAGTTTAAAACTTTTTAACAAAAGGAGTAATTATATGAGCTCCTTATTATTGACAGTTTGTTAGTTTCCACATGCTGGCAGTAAACAAATGACTGTTTTAGAGGCCAATAATACTGTAATAAATTCTTAATTTATTTCTATTGCCTTCAAAAGAGATAAACAAATTTCTTTTCTTTTGAGATACCATTTCCAGGCTGTGCAAATACTTTTACCTAACAAGACTTCATCTGGTCATGGTTATGCTTAGTGTTTTGATTTGAGCATCATATAAGCGTTCATAAACACAACTCTCACTACTTGCTACAATAAATTTTTACTATATACATAAAAACAATCAAATATATTTCCACATCTACATTATACATAAAAACAAATACCTTGTAGATTTAAATTGATATTTGCATTACTTTCTCCAGCTGAATTTTTTGCATGAATTTTATACATACCACCATCTTCTGGTTTTGGTGATAAAATGTGTATTTCAATTATATAAACATCATCAGGTTGCTCTGATACTTCCCATGCACGTTTCCAGAGATTTCGTTTATTTCTTGATCATTCAAATACCACGTCAGTGTTGCAGCAGGTTTTGCTTCTAATCTGCATGATAAGATAACTTCACCTTTAGACTTATCCATACGAATCACTGGTTTCTCAAGAAATTTCGGAGCTTTAGTTGGTGTACTATAGTAAATAACACAAAATGAAAATAATTACAAAACATGGGAAAAATCACATTTTAGTGTACACAAAAGACGTCTACTTACTTCCTGAGCGCATAAGTTTAGTTTAGCTTTAGGCTATGAAAAAACGGGAGCTCACATACAACATCCCAGATCAGTAGTTTAGTTATTAATGAAATATTTGGCTTCAAGCAGTTAACATGTTTAAATGAAGTTCTATTTAATATTCAAATCACTTCTAATATTTTACATTTCTGTATTACTTGACACTAACCTTAATTTTATTTTAAGTGAGGAACATATGGTTAATATGGTTTGTGATATTATAATCAAGATAAATGTGCTGTTATATTCTGTGCTCTCTCGGTCTTGTGCAATAATTCACAGCTGTACAGAATACAATCATTCTAAAAACTGTGTTTTTTATACTTGTGACTGCTTTCAATTTATACATAATATACATTCGAAGTTTCGAATGAGACATGTTTTGAATTTATCTAAAACGCAAATTATCTCTTTTTTTACTAAAAGAAAGCCTTAATAACCATCTTTCATGATAAATTGAAGAAATTCACAGATCATGATGAGTTTCTCTATACAGATATTCTAGTGAGCTAAGGCTTGTAGCATAAGTGATCTGCTCATAATTTTTTTTAAGTGGAAGAATATATGTTTAACAAGTGATTTAGAATTCAGTGTAATAATCTTTTGGAATTCGAATCAAAGTGAATTAATGATTTCTTGAATAGATCAATCTAAGTGAAAAAGTGATTAGAAATTCAATACAGTTCCATTGTGAAGAGGTAAATATTAAAAAAGATTTTGAAAAACGCAATATCAAAAATATTGGAAGCTGTATTATAAATTAGGCAACTATATAAAAGTTAATCAAGATAATGAACACCACTCCAAACGATTCTTCTTTTAAAGTAATCTACAGTGTCAAAGGAATTGAATCGAAGGGGTGTCGAATCAGTATTTTATGCACTGTTGAGGCATTGGCAATTCACGAACTCAAGTTCGAACTTTGCATGCAGAAACGATTTGTCCAACTTCTCATCCTTCCTTGGCCTTAATTTACTTAACGGGTATGTTTTCGGGTTTCTTTCTGCACTTCTCTTTGACTAATAATGAACTAGGTCTAAAAAAGTATTGATTTATATCTATTGTCGAATACTTTATTAGTGAAGTAAATATCTTAAACACTCTTTGGAATTGTCACATAATATGTCGAGTATAATTTCCATGCTAACATTTCCTTACCTTACAGTTTAAAACATTCTCTCTTATACTACCTCTGAAAGTATGGCGAGTTAGTCTATATACAGTATTTCAATGTTGACATAGTGGTAGTTCGTGAATTCATTTACTCCTCTGTAATCAGTTTCATAATTAGAAAAAACTGGTTGTTTACAGTAAGCTGAATATCTATTCATTTATTCCTTAATTTGAGATAAACTTAGGCCAAATTAACTTAAAATAGCAGATCACATTTTAACAAACATTTGCTGTGAGAATGATAGTTCTTATAATTTACACATTATTACTTTGTTTGACTTCAGTTTAAATGAATATAGGTAACTTTAATCAGTATGAACTATAAAACATTGAACAATGAAGATCTTTTATGAACGGGTTCTACTCAGTATCAAAATCCACACCAGTAAAAACATGTCTGATTCAAAGTTTTACATCATCTTGATAACAGTCATCTCTCAAACGTTTCTTAGGTAACAAATACATGATTTAGTTTTATGATATTCATTCTTTTTATAATAATTAGATATTATGATAAAACTAGCGATAATATATTGTAGAGACACTATTCATTGTTAAAAGCCAATAAATTATAAGAAACTGTTCAAGTTAAAATAGATTGTTTACAGATGTGTGAAAACTTACGATTTAGCTGATCCAATATTCAAATTTATTGTGGCTGTTGAATCACCAAGTTTATTTTTGGCTGTTACCAAGTATTCTCCACCATCATCAGCTGTTACTTGGTTAATTTCTAATGTTAATGTATGTTGTTTACCAAGTGTACGACAATTAGTTTTGTAACGTGAAGAATTTTTTATTTCATTCCCAGCTTTTGTCCAAAGAATTTCTGGCGCTGGATCTGCTTCAGCTACAACTTCAAATATGACATTTTTGCCAGATTGTTTAATTTTTGGTTTGTCTATAAATTTTGGTTGAATTCCTGGATGAATGAACAAATAAATCAGATTTAACTTTTACTCTTTTTTGACACGTTAAAATAAACTGTACACAGTTAAATGAATTAAGCGAATGATTTTAAGTGATTAGTGATTTTATTGATTGAAATGTAATTCAAAAGTTTACCGTCAAACATGTGTATGAGATCATCTTAACACTTCCGACGAAATAAACTTCCAATAGTAAGGATATCTTTTGAACTATAGAATTACATCATTGTCTGATATATGATGTTAATTGTTGTTTACAAATAAGCAGTGATTTATCGATGTAGTAAATATACTTTATTTAGTACAAAAGAAATTCTCTGTTTCTCACACATAGATTTTAACGTCTTTATGTTTCAAAATGGATATGGGTAATCATTTATATATTGGTCTTAATGTGATAAAGATAAAAGCCTACGATTGTCAAATGCTTTATTTTATTCATTAACAGAACAAATTTTCAGGTGGAGATATGTAATATAATATAATTGACTTATAAAGCATATGACGTATATGAATTCGACTATCTCTCTGACCTAAGACGGAGTAATACTCATCTTCTCATAGTATCGTGGATCGATTGAGGTTAAACATCAACACTGTTTAATGTCAACTCAGTGGTCTAGAGGGTAAGAATCTGCAAAAGTCCGAAAGTTTTGAGTTTTATTCGCGTATGCAAGGTGATGGATGCTCACTGCTGAGGAGCCCCAAACTAGGATAAAATGGCTTTCCAATTCTTCCAGGTTTAAAATGGTTGTTTATGTTAGATCAGTTCGATGAAATAAGGTTTTGTAGTATGAAAAGGCTTAGTAGATATGAAGTGATCAAATATAATGATGTAAATGTCAGATGGAAAAATAACTGGATATCCCAACTAACTATAGTGTTGATCACATTATTAAACTGTTAACTGCTTTTAATTAGTTTACATAAATAATAAAATGAAATAACAGTACATTGACCTTTTGGCCACTAATATTAAATAACCTATTCAGGTAGTTTCAATACGTCTACCATTACCATGAGTCAGATTATCTAACGTTCAATATTACGTCCTTTCAAGTGGTTCTCAATCACCAATATTTTTGCCGTTTTCAGGCTTATTCATGCATTTATTTGTTTTGTATGTGAAATGTCAAGTTAATCCTATTCTTTGTGCCGTAATCTTCACATCGATATATAAATGCATTACTATCAAAATCGACATTCACCATTCATGTTATTTTATGGTATCTTCTTGAAACCTGTTATAGAGTGTACAAATCTCAGAGCTCTGTTTAATGAAAAAGGTAAGTGGGTTCTAAATGTTTACACTCGTAACATTTCCCACCACTAATCACTTTGAAAATAAACTTGGTACCGTTCACAAAATCTTTTTTAACCTTTACAGATCTGTTATTTATCTAGACTTATAAGTTATTTGGATTTAATATTATGACCCCTAAATTAAGGTAAATAATTAATCTCAACATTCATTCAAACTAGTCACTCCATTTATATTTTCCTCTTTTTATATTCCGATTCATGACTAGAAAGGAAAGTACAAAATCTTTACAAAATCGTAGCGATTACATGTATCGTATGACAAACTAGTTGTAAGGAGGTAGTTTAAACTAAAATCCTGCACTTATGTACTATTCATTGTTAAAAGGACTACTTCACAAATTTTTTTAGACTTAATGAAAATTTATTTTGTTTTACAAATATATTTATTATCAGAAGGGGGTCTTGTTAAGATTTTAGTAATTTATTAGTTTTTGCGCAATACCGATAGATCCTGGGTTCGAATTCCGCGAGCGGGATTGTGGATACGTACTACTGAGGAGTCCCATACTAAAACAAGACGACTATCCAGTGCTTCCAGGTCTTCTATGACGGTCTAACTTTAATTGACTCATGAATTCAACTATTAAATATATATTTATGTCATGTACTTAAGGTACAGAATGAAATTATCTAAAAAAACGTTTTTTAGAATAAGAATTCTATATTGGATAGTTTGTACAGTATTAAATAAATCTATTATTTCTGTTATTATTGTAAACGAAATAATGAGTTATTTACTATTAAATGCAATAATTATTGAGTGGTTTATAGCAGCTTAAGATTATTAACATCAAAATTCATTCGTATCTAATGAGAGAATAACAGAACTTTTTAAAATCTAATTGTTAGCTAAGATGATTAAAAGTATAGTTGAATTTTTGCAGGTTTGTTTTAAATTTCGCTAGTTCATCAAATAAACGGTTATTGACATTATGAATCAAGAGTAAATTTTACATATAGACTATGCGTATGTAAAAGAAAACAGTTTTAAAGTTTAAGAACTAAGAAAAATAATAAAAATGGACAATGGCTGAACTTAATTGAGTTGACAAATTCTGAAGCTATATTTAGTTTGTTCAGTTGATTGAACCTGTGGTGTGTGCTAGTGATGTCAACAGATATTAGTAGTATAAATCATCCATCGAAAGTGAAATGCCTGGCTGCACAAGGTTAAGAATATCGAAGAAAAAAGAACGAGAACAGTGAATGATTGGTGTGGAAATAAAATAACAATGAAGTTTAAGACGATTGATTGACATGTTGCAAATGAAGTATTTACTTTATGGTTCTCAGATTTTACTAAGACGTTCTGTAATTTTGTGTTAAAATACATTCGATTGTTCCTACTTGTGTTCTCATTCACTACAAACCTACTGGTGACTCATAGAATCAAAATAAGTGTTTAACTCTAAGTTAGAATGGGGTAAACGATTGATTGTAAGCTTTCATAATGTTATTGTTGACATTGTTAGTAGGGAAAAGAAGATATCTTATTGATATCTTCTTTTAAACTGGTTTTGAAAATTTAACACAAGGTTAACCATAAAGTTTAGTTTAAGAAACGTGAAAACTTCAAAGTAAAGAATTCATAATTCAAGACTTCTTTCTTAACAGTGTATTCTTCACTATGTTACTTAAGTTTCTTTATTATACCTAGATAATGTAGAATAGGGATAGTAATCGTAGTTAAGTGCCAACATGAAAATCTCAATGGTTTTTCAACAAACGGACAGTTTTGAACAAATTCATAACGAATCAAATGCGAATAAAGTAGACAATATATTGGTCACTGAGCAATGACCAATGTCATGGTCTCCTGGTCCTTTAAATATTGATGGAATTCTATCGACTAATTTGTTGTATAATCATCAGTATAAGTGACTTGGCTGTGTAAGCACTGTGTTGAGGCATTAGATGGTTGATAGTGGTCAACAGGAAACTATATAAAAAATATTCATCATTAGGGATAACCTAAGTTAAGGATACTCTTAGTGATGAAACGTAATGGCGTAAATAGATTCACTTAATTTATTAACTGCAGTGTTTTGATAGATAAATAAATCAACAATAGAGCAAGCGTCGTTTTTGCCATAAGAAGATAATTTGGTCAAAAAAAGCCTAACTTTGTAAATAAGTCAGGTACAGACACCAAATTTGATTATTTTGAACAAAATAAGCACGCGTGTTTTCATCAAGTATTGAAATGAAACTAGGTTCACAGAAAAAGGATTGTGGCATAGTCTGCTCAAAGCGCCATTACAAGTAACGAAGAAAACTGCTCTGTAGTCAGTTCATATACTTAATGTGAAAACTCACATTTTATAATCCACCGATAATCAGTCAGTTAAAAGACATACGTTAGGAAGTTCATTATCGAAAGACAAATATAAAACAATAATTTGTTAATGAGTGAATAACTTCAGATTGGGGATTTGTAGAGATTGTAGTGATTTTAGTAGTTTAATTCATGAGTCGATCTATGCTAGACCATCATTGTAAACCTGAAAGAACTGGATGGCCATTTCATCCTAGTATAAGAGTGCTCAAAAGTGCTTATCCACGATCCCGCAGGCGGGACTCGACCGAATTCAAACGTCAACATTGTTAAATGCCATCTCAGTGTTCGTTCTGGGTTCGAATTCCGCGTGTGGGATCATGGATGCGCACTGTCGAGGGGTCCTATACAAAGAAGAAACAACCGTTCAGTGCTTCCATGTTTTCAATGGTGGTCTAGTTTGGATTGACCCATGAATCCAAGTATTAAAATTAAATTCTTTGTTTATTTTTTACCGTGTGCCTTATCTATTGACTTTATAACAAATCACATTCATAAACTTTGACTAGGCCTGTAGAATTATTAATTTCTGCATAATATTTATCAGCAATAAAGTCATGACTTTTCCAACTTGCGTAACTCGTGATGTAGGCAAAATATCTGTCTACTAAGTTAGTGGAGTGTATATCACACAACAGTATACTTTCTGGTTGTGAGACATAGTCCTAGAAAGTAGAAAGCGTAGTTTGGTCTCAGGTTTTTGACTCTATATTAGTTACAATAACTCTTGAAAAGTAGTATCTCTTTCTTATGGCTAAATCAATGTGGTTACGATTTTGCTACAATATTTGTGGAAAAAAACAACAGTGAAAGCAATATATACAAAAAATATCCAACCCAATAAAGATTAAATTCACTCTTGAATGGTAATAACGACATCACTGACTTTCATGAATAAGCGTAAAATTTGCTGAAATATGGTTATAGTATTACCAAGTAGATGAAAAGTATATATGTAAAATAAAGTATATGCTGCGTTTAGCGATCAAAGTGATTTATACAAATAAAAGTTGACGTCATAAGTAGTAACCACTGTTTCAGGGTAATCTTCATATAATTACAATATAATGAAAATAGACCATTCATGATAAAACTTGAATACATTGCTAGTTATTTAGTCCAAAAATAAGTGAATTAAGGATTATTCTTATTAAAACAATTTTTCATCCTCATACCTACTACAGTACATATTATTCTTGTGTTTTTGTTTCCCTCAAAATTTCATTATTTATATATAAAAGGTTAGAAACAGTGTATACTGAAAATAGTATACGTAGTGGACTTGAAATATTTAATCATCGAATCAAACGGTACTGCAGTCGAGTCGCGTAGTGA